CATGAACTTCCAGAATGCCAGCTGGCAGCCTTACTTTGTTCCTGCCGGCCAAGACCGATGAACTTTTTCCAAGAATTTCAGAAAAAACTCGAAAGCTGCCAGAAAATAGGTCGAGGATGCCTACATTGCTCTTTCAGTTTCTTAGTCTTAGTTTTCCTTCATTGCTAACTGTTTGTTAGGAGGATGTTCCTTCAATATTATCCCATACATGTTGGCTCATTAGTGCATTAATGGATTTTACTCAGCATCATTTTTTCAATACAATGAATGGACAGTTCTGCCCTTGAGGTCATACAGGGTAACATTCAATGGTCGAGCCACTTCCATTGATTGTATTCATAGTAAAATTTTAACTTTTTTATCATTGGCATGAAATCCGAGGTTACTTATTGGTTGTCATTCCATCAACAAAACATGAAATCAAAATTGCCGAAGTTATGATTGTAGCTGATATTACCAGATCCTTTGACACATTTTACTCCAGAGGCTCTTTGATTGTAATTGAAATAATCCAACTTGAAACTAAATGAATTGCAAGGGTCAACTTGGTTTGTTCCTGACACCCAGACCCGTTTAAGAATGGATAACATATTCTAAACTGACTAGGACTAGCAGCTCCTTGCGTTTGGTTCTCCTCCCTTGTGTGCCTACCTGAGGCTGCTTCCAACACGTGAGCAAGCACCTGACAGAGGTCAGTGCTTATCGCAAATCACTGACTGAGTTGAAGCCAGAGGCTGCTGACATGGAAATTCTTTGGGTCTTCAATGGCAGGACACGCGCAGCAACCTCGAGTAGCCCAGTTACAGCTCCACCTATCAAGAGGCATAAGGCAGCTGAATCATTGGAGGTGGCAACCTCGCCAGGTTCAGCAGTGGTTACATCTGATTCTGACACTTTGCTGCACAAGAAACCATACAGCATATTGGCAACTTGTATTCTTAGGTGAATCACAGACTAGTATGTTCAAACTGACAGACATTTTGTTTGTTTTGTTCACTAAAACAGAACAAGAGTTCCATGAGTTTCTTTTCCAATGAAATACATTGATGTTTCCCATACATTTTTCAGAGCACGTTGTCTGCAAGTGGCAGCAACAGTTTTTGTTGGGCATATTGACAGTTTCCAGGCTGGGGACATACATACACAGTGGTTTAAACAAATATAAGAGCTGTAAATACATCAATCAGTGTTCATTCCAAATGTATATGGACTAGATGCCATGATTTAGAAGTCAGGAGTTATCTCAAACATGCTGGATTTCCAGTAAGTTATTGAAATGCATCCCAACCATGTTTAGTGCATATTGTTTTGATATGATAGCATTCCTTTCCTTCCCAGGATGGTGGCAACTCAGTCCAGACAAGTGAAGAAGAAGCTGCATCTGAAGGGGATGAAGGCAATGAAGGCAATGAAGGCGATGTGGTGACTTCAGAGGCAGACGAATCTGACGTTTCACCATTGTCTTTGCTTGACCATGGCTACAAGCTTGACAGACAAAGAACTTCAAAGCAGGCATACTCTTCAAGGGCCCCCGGCAGAAAGAAGCCATCCATCCTGCTGGATCCCATTATTTCAGAGAAGGGCATCCATGTCTGCATCAGATCTGCCCAGTTCTTTCTTGGAGCCACTTGGCAGGAATCTGATTTGAATTGCAGCCACTGCAAGCATCATTCACATTGAGGGTATCATCTGTCATGGAAAGTTTATGGTTCAGTTATTCAGTGATGAAAGCATTGCATTTGTGTTATGTTTGCGCATCAGGTCGGTTCTGGGAGGCTTCAGCGAGATTCTTGGCCAAAGTGTCACGCCCATTTTTTTGTTGTTTCACCAAAAACATACCTTTTCAGGCAAACCGCGATAATTATTGTCTTCTGCTCAGAATTGGATTTTGATGGAATTTTGGAGACCTGCAAGTATCAAAGGAAGTGCACCAGAGTCAGCCACATTTAGCTCAGCCTACATGCATTCATTGCCCACAAACATTGCTCACAGACTCACGTTGCTAAAAGTACATGCAAATAGCAACAGTTATCTGATGTTATCTGTCGGGGCTTGATCATATTCACTTCTGAAATGACTGTGTGTTAATTCTCTAGCTACTAGGGACAGTGAGTTGCTTAATAGAGATACTCTTCATGCTTGTTGCCATGTTCAACAAATCACGCACCTAAATCACCCTTACCAGTCTCATGATCAATCATAAAAACCGACTTGGCACCACACTGCATGGAAACTACGCAAAACTGCACTCAAACCACGCAAAACCGCGCTCAAACTACACAAATTATTTTGGCAAATTTAGCTTCAAACAAGTTGATCCTGAGCGTGTTGGCATGACCAAGTCGGTCATCATTCGACACATGTCTCAGGGAGGACTGAATGACATGTTGCAGAGACAAACTGAAACCCAGTTGTTGGTCTTATTCGCTTTCAACTGTAAACCTCCATCAATTTGAGCAGAATGCGCATGTCAACATGCACAAATTCTGTTCTCCTCCAATTGACTAAGTTGGTTGAACATTCCAGCAACATGATGTGCAAATCAATTTTCATGGTATTTTCATGTATTTTCACAAAAAGCCCCGGGCGCAAAATCCATTCAAAATCACAGAGTTCAAACGACGTTTTTTTTTTCAAAACGACATTTTTTCGAAGAAACGGCAATAATTCTTGTAGTTTCAAGAAACTGCATCTTTTTGCATACCTGGATGTTGCAGGTGTGAGATATTTGATGCCTGAATGAAAAGCAGATAGGACTCAATCATGCTAATGTCAGCAGATCATACACTGTTTTGACTGGAATTTCTTGAGGTGCTACAAGGCCGTCAGGACGGCAGAAAGGAAGCAGCTGCAATTCGAAAACAAGATCCAATGAGCAGCCCAGCATTGCGCATATGCCGCTTATTTCTTTGGCATCGCTACCAGTACGAAGCTGAAGGTTTGCCCAACAAGTTTGTCTTTGACGTGAATGACAAAGGCCAGATTCAGCAGAGGTCACCCGGCACTGATTATCAACTTCAAAATACTTTTTGGCTCGCAATGGCCAACGATAATGCAAATACAGTTACATTGGTGCATTTCCGGTGGAGTTCCATTCATTTTGTTTGAGCATTATGTATGTATATATATATATATGTATATAATATGTCTTATTGTGTGTGTCTCTGATCTCTGAGTGTCAAGTTCAGCAATAATGGAACCAATGGAACATAAAAGATGTCCATCGTTGAGAAGCGCATGAAACAGAAGGTCATGCTGTGCTGTTTTTCTTTGTTTGGGTAGCATTTTTTTCTCAGATTTACCTGCGGCATATATGCTAGGTTTAGCAGAATAGTTATATATACATATTCAAATAAATAGATAACTAAATTTATACATATATATATATATATATACCTACATCCTCATGGTCTGCTTTTTTTGGGGCGTTTCGTGAAAGTGCAATAATTTTGGTTGTTTCAGGAAATTTAAGTCGTTTCAGAAAAAAAAGGTCGTACATAGGTTACTTTGGTTCTCCCAGGGCAATGGTTTATGCCCCTCAAAAAATAAAGGCGTTTCAAAGGGAAAAAGCGCAGTTTCGAGGGAAAAAGCGCTTTTTCACCAGGCAAAAGCGCTTTTTCATTTTTTTCATGTTTTTCAATATTACATTCATGAATTATTTGTTTCGTAAATACTGCTGGAACGTTCTTGCACAATCATTCCAGACACCCAACCATACCAGGCAACACAAAAGGGCGCAAACGAAGTCAGGTAGCACTCTCTGGAGCTCAGAAGGTCCGTTGGAGCAATAAGACTTATGTAAACTGTCAATTTCTGAAAAATCAGTTCAACCATCTTAAAATGGAAAAGTGCTCGCAGCCAGAAAAAGTGCCGTTTCAAAAAAATATCACATAATCATAGAAAGAGCAATAATTTTGCACGCTTTCCAGGTTCTAGGTATATATATATATATCTCTCTATATTATATATTATATATTTATGTATATATATTGATGCTTTATAGTGTGTCTAAGGACCCACACCAGATCAGAGACCACAGCTGGCGATGTCAGTGAGCAACCATCTTCTGACAGTGATGCAGGAGAGCGGGCAATTACCACATGTGCTTTGCAGGTTTTTGCTTCAGAAGAAGCCTCTGCCAAGGTTCTGCAGGGTCCAGGCATGGCTGGTGCACCAAGACGATATTTGGGTGTAACTCGCCCAGCCCTTCTCTACCTGCATATGGTGGAATGGTGCAAACAAAGTGGACATGATACTCCATCTTTCACTACCTTCTGCAGGGCTCTTCATGAGAGCAAAGGCTTTTTACGATTCAGGAAAATGAAGGGAGAACACCCTGCATGCGACGAGTGTTGGTGTCTTGTCCAGGAACTGACCTTTTATATGCAAGGCTTTTCATGCAGCAGCTAGCATTCCTTATAAGTTATTTTCCTTCATGTTCTTGACTCTATAAACCTCTATATAGCCTTTTTGCTCTTTCAGTTTTTGCACCGAGGTCCTACAAAATCAAACTTCAAGGAAAGATGTCACCACAGCAGAGATCTGACCTTCTGACAGGCTACCTGAAGCATTTGTCCTTAATGTGGCAGGACCGAGAATGCGATTTCCGTTGGGCATCCTTGTCCCTCCAGCTGACAAGTCCCTGGGCAATATTTCATCAATTCATTCTATAAGGCTTTTGTTTCCCTTGCATTGCTAGAATGTGAAGAATATTTTTTCTTGAGTAGATGCACATGACATATTGAAAATAAAACATGCAAGTAACTAACAAGCTTGCACGTCAGACGGTTTTTTGATCCCAATGTTTCTAGAAAATATCAGGTGTATATGTACATATTACATATATAAGCGCTTATATTCATATATATATATACACATGTCAACTATATCTCAGCCTGCCCAGTTGACAGAATATGTTTTTCTTTTTATGTTTTTCCTTTTTTCCTTCCCTTCAGTATTCTAGCATTAGGTTTGCTTTTAGCAGTCAAGGCCAAATCAGAATGGGGTGGCGTTTGCAGAGCATACAAAGAGAGCTCTCAGTGGTTCTGCTGCGGGCAGATGGACTTGACCAAGCGAAACACCGTGTGCCTCGTGCATTGCATCCAACGCATAGTTGGAACAAGCTGTGGCGCCCACCGCAGACAATCCAAATGGTGCACGCCAGCGGCCATGGCCTGCACTTTGCGGTCCTTGATTTCGACGTTCCGAAAAATACAAATTCCAATGTGGAGTGCATCAGCCGCATGCTGAACGTGGTCTTTGAGAACATGGGAGCTATGCCGCACCAGCTCGTCCTGATCCAGGACAATTGTAGCCGCGAATGCAAAAACCAGAAGATTCTCAAATGGGCACTGAAGTTGAAGATACTTTCTGTGATAGATTCTGTACTTCTTCTTTATCCTCAAAAAGGACACACGCACGGACCACTGGACGCCACAGGAGGCCAGGCAATCACGAAATGCAGCCTGAGCAGCTTCGACACACCTGAAGAACTCTGTGCAATATATGACTCATTTCTGAAGCAGTCTCAATGCGACGAGGGCACAAAGAGATCACTTTTGTCATACAAGTGCCCCTTGCTTGCACAGCGCCCCTGGTAGCCTTTGAAGATGAGAAAATGAGTTCAGCCGTTGTTGGACCATCATGATGCACATTGTTATTGCCAAAAAATGTTTTTTACATTATTTGTACTGTAGCATGTCCGGCTACTGGAAACCACATGGGAGGATCCTGTCAGCAGTTTTTGTCAGCACATGTTTTTTGCTTCATATCACAACATAGCATGATCATACTGACTGTCTACAAGAGTGTTTTTGAGCACCTAGGCGACGAGCAAGCCAACTGGGAGCAATGGTGGGACGAAATTGGACTGCAGTTCAACAATCTCACTGGACCTCTTGCCCCACACTCGTGCCCTGGAATCAGTGTAGTGCACGCCGTGTTTCTTATATGTTTTTAATGTTTGAATTTCTTGCAACACTGAATTTCAATTTGAATGAAAGAAACTGGTTTCAATCAGGCCCAGAAGCTTTTGCGTCATGTCTTTAGCACTCTATTGAAGACAACTTGCTGTATGAAGCTGACCCTTTTTTGAGGTTTGAGATCAAGTATCTCAAGGACCTGGGCTATCTCGAAACTGCAGTCACTACATGGCCAGGACGGAAATCAAATTGTTGCAAATGTTGTAGTAGGTCACTGCACCAAGCCCAATTTCATATTTCAAGTGATAAATAAGTTACTAGTATTGCTTGTTTATGTTACCAGAAGCCTTCTTCCGACCAGTGACAGAATTGACTTAAGGGCCAGCTAACTTTTGCAGCACACACACACACGTTTTTCAAACAAGCATTTTGCGGACAATAACATTCAATTATCAAAAGCAATAACTTTGATAACCTTGTGCTTGGAACTCTTGGTGTACAGATTTTTGTTTTTGTACAATGAAGCATTGCTCATAGGCCTTGGACATCCTTTGGCCCTTGGTGTTCATGCCTGCAGGGGCTCCAGCTAGCCACCCCCTCGACATTGTCATGGTCGTTCGGCAGAGAATGTCTTCCAAGCGATACCACCAAGTGGCACTTTGTGTTCCTGGACGAAGCATTCCTGCCCTGCGGTTGCGACTCTCTGCTCAGCCTGAAGGCTTATTTCCCAGGAAACCATTATCCAAGGACAACCAGATGCAGATTATCAAGCGTGCCGAGGAAGTGTACAAGAACGGACACATCAGTGCATCTAGGCATATATAGAGTTAGCGTTTTTTCAATGGCAGGCCACAAGGTTCACATTGGTTTTCAGGCAAATTAAGTTTGAAGGTACACCTTTGCCGTTTACTTGTACCTTTGTTTACATCCATGCAAAAAATCAATTTCAGGAGGAAGCGTATGAATTTCTCAGTGGCTGGGCAAAAGGAACACGGCGCAGGCATCTCCGGCCCTCCAGCTACCCATTTCTGCAACACAGGCTGGTTGTTGTCCAAAACGTTGAATACATTGCATAGCAAAGGTATAACGAAAGCATGGAAAACACAATCCACAGAAAATACATTTCACAGAAAACACAAAAGCATGGATAGATCGAATGGGGAAACTGTTGACTTGCAGGTTTGACACTTCACCAGCTGTGGTGCCAGTTACGGAACCAGAACCAGCACCGCGGCTTGTGAAAGTGACAGAGGAGAGCGGATTTCCTCTGGAAGATGACGAAGAACAAGATGCGCCAGAAGAGGCAGGTAAACCACATATGGACCTTTGTTTCTTCAATGGAAAGGTATGCTGGGAGAAGTTTAAGTTATTGATGTTCCTTTCTATTTGCACACAAGGGCCAATGCATGATATATTACAGCGTTTGTCCATTGCAACATGTTGGCTTGATGGGGGGGGTTAACCCGAGTTCATCTGAGTTGAAATCGGACAAAGTTTTCTCTCTTTCATCATCTTTCATCTATTCAGATCTGCTATGTGAAAAAAGTGCGTTTTCACCTAGGCAGCATGCCACTTTTTGTTGTATCATTTTATTGTCCATCTTGTTCATTGGCCAATATAATTTTCTTTGTTCATAGACAAGTGTATGAACTTGCCAAGCAAGTTTTTGAAAATTTTCACGGATTTTTGAACCATTACACTAGATCGTCGCGTTATTTCGTTTTGAAATTCACTCATTCTAGCAAAACCTGTGTAAAATGTGTGGTATTTCTGTGCAAATCCTTCATCTGACCAACGACGTTTTCTGAGCACGCAGAAGATACCTTCAACGTAGCAGTAGCGTCCACAGAAGTGCAAGACAAGATAACTTCAACGTAGCAGTAGACTCCGCAAAAAAAGAGAGAAGATAACTTCAACGTAACACTCCCCCCCCCCCCCCCACCCCCCCACCCCAAGATAAATCATGTCTGGACGCTAGTGAACATGAACGTTAACACTCCCTCCCAACCCCCCCACCCTAAGATATTCATGGAATGTAAGCCGGACGCTTTTAGTGAACATGAACGTTAACACTCCCCCCACCCCCCCCACCCCAAGATACAATCATGTCTGGACACTAGTGAAACTGACGTTAACACTCCCCCCCACCCCCCCACCTAAGATACATCATGGAATGTCTGGACGCTAGTGAACATGAACGTTTAAACACCCCCCCCAAACCCCCCCCCAACCCCAAGAACATCATGTCTGGACACTAGTGAACATGAACGTTAACACTCCCCCCCACCCCCCCCAAGCCCCCCCTTCTGTATACCTCAACGAAGAACACACATAAAGTTTGGGCTAACCCCCCTGTCTACCCAACATGTTGTTGAAAGGGTTTGATTAGCGCATGAACAACTAAGCATTGCCAGTGTGCATCTTGAACCACATGTATGGTTATATATGCAGACATTTGCAAGTTTATGTATTTGTCCAGCCCTGCAAAAGTTTCCCTGCTTTCAGGCGATTGATGATGCTTCAGAGCTGGCAGCTTTGCAAGGATTGGCAAGCTAGGTTCTGTCTCAGCAAGGATGGGCAAGCAAGGATTTGCAAGGATTGTCAAGCCAGGAAAGTTCTGGTTCAGGCTAGGTTATTGAGCAAAGAAAAACATACAGTAACTTTGTTTGGCCAGAAATATATTATACGGAACCTCTGCTGATCTTGGAGGCCTAGGTCAATTTGGTCGAAGCACTGGCTGAAAGGGCCATAGCTCTGGAAATTGGAAAGAGAGTAGGTCTCGGTTCCTGGGAAAGCAAAACATGTCACAAGCATCAAAAGTCAACAAGTAATCTTTCCATTTAAATGTCGAATGTTGTCTCAAGGGGCCCTCCTAGCAAGTCATCTTTAGCCCTGAAAGAGTACTTGTGGGCCAAAATCGGACTTGGAAAGCTGACTTCCTGGGACCCTGGCCCATGCCAAATCCCAAAGTGGATGACGCCAACCGACCGGAGGAAAAGGAAAATGGCCTCGGCCTCATGGCACTACACTGCACGCTCTGTGAACATGAAGAAACTTGAAGCATAAGTTTTGCTCTTACATACAATCATCACAGCTCACTATGATGTCCAAGTTCCAAAGTTCCAAGTTCCAAGTGACCCAGAGATTGAGGATCACACTCTTTCCCAGGCAGGAAGCCAAACATCATGCACTACCTGGTGCACTTGCTTTCAAGACTGGGACTTCATGACGCAGGAACGAACGGCTAGACAGACATTGGGTAATTTTAATGTGAAACACTCATGTCATGGCTTGGCTCGCCATCGTCAAACGGCAGTCACATGCCATAGCATTTCTTCACACTGCGTAAGTCCCTGTGTGTACAAGAGACAGCGCGCTGCACCTGCAGGACGAAATTGCAGCCAGCCCGGATCGCGCAACCTCAGGTTGAACTCATTGGGAAGAGTTCATGACAGCACTCCTGTTTCACCTTTAGACTCTTTGTACCGAGCCAGGCATGTCTGATGTTGTTTCAGGGATGAGTAGCTTGGTAAATCAAACAGCCTTCACAGCTGGGCACTCACCGGCATTCTCATGTTCCAAAGCCAAATCATGCTGTAATGATGTTTGGTTCAAAGCACAAGTTGTATAATAACTGTGAATGATTCATGGTTTGGAATTCAGTGCTCCATCAAATCAGTCAGGGGAGAGCCAAAGCCCTTTTCCTTGTCCGCTTTTGCATCTCCACGCGATCTGAATCAGTGCCACTGAGCCCTCGGGAATGCCTTACAAGTTGAATATTCTGAATCAATATTTAATTTCCACATAAACAGGGCATCAGTAGCTCACCGCTAATCATTGGCTTTGGCAAAACCCCAATGCCAGCCATGGACCCCAAAATAAAATCATTTCTCATCCGTCAGCATTTGAAATGCAAGATTGCGCTCTGATGGTCCTGGAGGAAGAATCTGGGCCCACATCGCATTCCTGATTTGCTCTTCAGTTCAAAGACAACGTGTTGTTATGTTTGTTAGTTTTGGCGTTTCCAGGGCAAAACAACCCCCCAAAAAGACTTTTTGCAAATTCACGTGGCCAAGCAGCAATGCATGCCGGCAATTGTCCAAGCCTTCAGCTGACAGTCATGCCATCCATGACACGTAGGATAGCTCCCCGGTGCATCTTTGCCTTACTCAACTGGCAGCCAGAGCAGCCCTCCGACTTACACGTTCTTCTCGTTCTTGCGCATGTCTGGGCGAGGGCGTACTGTTTTCAAGACACAGAACGCAACATGTTCCACCAATACCCTGGATGTCAGTGTTCGAAGGAAGTTTAGAAGTGAAACTTCCGACAGTATGGACAGTTGAAAAGCAGAGGTGAGAAGAGTCAGAAGGGAGAAGAGTCAGAAGAGGAAAGATCAGAAGCAAGAAGATGCAGGTGCGCGAAAAGGTAGGAAAGTCATGATTCACTGTGTTTTTCCAATGATTTGTGGCTCCGGAGGGTCGAAAAGTAGGCTCGCTAAAGCGGCAGGGTGCAGAGCCAGCTTGCCAGATGAGAGATGAAAAATTGCACGCCGTTGTGGCGCGAAGCACATTTCCAAGTCAAAATATACAAAACACACCATGCTCGGACCACTTTTGGAGGCTCAGATGTCCAAAAAGTGCACACTACATTACACTACACAACACTCCACTACACTCCACTACACTAAATTAAATTACACTACGCTACACTACATCACACTACACAACACTCCGCTACACTCCCCTACACAAAATTACACTACACTACACCACATCACACTACGCTACGCTACATTCCACTACACTCCACCACACTTCACTACACTGCATTACACTTCACTACAGTACACTGCATGACACTGCACCACAGATAGTAGACAGGTAGAGAGATAGACAGATAGATAGATGGATGGATGGATGGATGGATGATGATAGATAGATAGATAGATAGATAGATAGGTAATTAGATGAAAGAGAGAGAGAGAGATATAGATAGATCGATAGATAGATAGATAGATAGATAGGTAGGTAGGTAGGTAGATAGGTAGATTGTCAGAGAAAGAGTGTGAGAGATCAATCATCTTTCGATCCATCAGTGGCTTCACTCTGCCATCCCTGATTCACAACAACCAACTTCTCCTATAGGTTTCCTATTTTTGAAACTTCCGCCACCGCCTTGTGCGGTGCTACTGGTAAACTTGTTCATTTGATGTCGGTGATTCTGACCTCGTTTGACTTTGCTATGACCCTGTTTTACTGGGTGTGGTTTTCACCCTTTTCCAGTCTTCAGTTTCCCGACCCTTGGGACCTGTTAGATCAAGGTCTTGATTGCCCAGGAACCTTGTTAATGATTAGGCTAAGATTGTTCGGTCTGTGCATCTGTGCCTCCGTCATGAGACTGTGGATCTAGACATTTCTAGGGTCAGCAATGCATATATTGCTGCAATAAATTGCATGCACCGAGTTCAAAATCAGAGGATGGACACACGTGATTGATGATGATTAATGCCTGTGTCGTCATTACTCCTTTGACTGTCAAGTGACACATTCCAGTTCCGCTACAGTTCCGCCAAATTCTTATGACCCCATTCAACTTTTTATCGTGTTCAAATGATCAAGTTAAGCTAGCACTTTGGACTTGTCCGGAAAGTTTGGAGGAATCTTCATCCACTTCGAACGTATTCCCTTCAGTCAGGTCTCGCACTTCTTGGGAGGCCAAATGCCAGCAGCCAGGAACTCCTACACAAGATGATACAAGATGGGAACTCAGGTCATTTAGCTGTGCCGGAATTGACAAGCAACTGGTCCAGCTCTTGGTCACCAAAACAAAACACTGGCCCTGCCTTCTTCACCTTGCTCCAAGAGGAAGAGGCATCGGATGGCTGTCCAGCATCTGGCTCCTGAAGCACAGCAGGCCGCCAATCTAGTATTCACACATGCAGCCATGCACTCCTAGACAACATGGGAACTCAGGTCGTTGAGCTGTGCCGGCATTGACAAGCAACTGGTCCAGCCCTTGGTCACCAAAACAAAGCACTGGCACTGCCTTCTTCACCTTGCTCCAAGATGAAGAGGCA